GACAATGTTCACCACTGCATCTGCGGGAGCTTTGAGGCTTGACTCATGCTATACATTAGGACTGTTCTGATTTTCCAGTTCTTAACATTTTAGCCATTTGCCGGCAATGGTGGTGTAAAGGGCTCAAAGATTTCCTCTCTCACAGATTAGCCAGTGCTGATTTTCCTTTGGAATCTAATGCCTAGTCCTAATTGGGCTAATCAGCTTCTGATGCAAGAGCATTAAAAATACCAAGCTCAGAGAAGCTACATCTGATCATATGAGGACTGAATGGACTGCTATAAATTTTCTGCTGGAGCAAATCTCACAAAAAAAAAAAAGTATTTTCCTGTGCTTCCCTTTGGCTCAGCCAGAAAAACAACACCTTTTCCCTCGTGTCACAAGGTGTGCTCTGCCCTCCAGTCTGTGAACTGGGTGACTCTAATCAACACAGGCCTGCTTAACTTGGTTATTAGTGTCTGAGAGATGGGCATGCCTTCTGTTGACATCAGCAATGTCCTCAGTGAAAAACCTATGTGCAAGCATTTTCAGTCCCACCTGCTCAGGATCTAGCATACTACAATGGAACATTTCAGCACATTTTGACACTCAGTAGATTATTAATCTCTACACAATGCTGTTGAAGACCAAGACTAGTAAGAATCCCAAGACAAGCACTGGGGATGCTGTGAATTAATAACTGATATATAATGCACTTTTAACTGTGTCTAGTTCAGTTAGTCAATGGAGAGCTTTTTTCTTTTACCTGAAAGGGCAAAATTGAGACTCAAACAACAAACCAATCAAACATTTTTTACAGGTACTGTTACATATTTGGTATTTCTGATACGAAAAACATCAAGAAAAATCCATTCTTGTTAAAAAAGCAAGCTGTCAAGAAACACTTGCGACAAAATGTGAGATTGAGGCTTTTTCAGTCTTTTGAAACAAACTTTCCTTAGCACCCCATTGACCACTCCAGACCAACAGAAAGTCCTTCTTCCCTAAGCTCAAAAACTTTTAGCTATCTCACTTTGTGTCATATGCTGCCCAATGTCAATTGAACTTGCTCCATAAAGTTTGAGGAATTTGATAATATGTCTATGAAGATGTTATTGACAATTTAATTGAAAAGAAAAGCTGTCTCCATTTATATGGTAATGAATTGTTTTCTTTCCCGAGATGTCAATATAATGGGAAAGAACGAATCGTTAATAGAATGAGGCAAAATATTTGGCAAAGAACAAATCAGTAGTCTTCTAATTGTGCAGAGGCAGAAACACATTACATCACACAGCAAGTCCTACAAAGACAATAAATAAATTCTCTCTACTCAAAGGTGGGGAAGAAGGAAAATTTCCAAACCCAAAAGACAAATGTGAGATGTCAAGAAGAATGGGACAGAGGGTACTAAAACACTTGCCCACCTTACTGAGTTGAGATTTGTAGAGATGCTTCCAAACTGTAAGCTGACAGGATGACAAAAGTCCCAAAGCTGTTTATATCCAGGGGTGACGGGGACATAAGTTCATACTATTATTTGACTAGCTGGTTTCACTTATAATTTATCTCTGTTTTTTTAATGGATGCCAGGAAAACTTTGACCTTCCTCAAGGCCAAGAGGAACTCTAAGTGGTAATAGTTATCTCTAAGAACAGCTGGTGAGAGGACACCTGTGGCTTACCTTAGGAAAAAAGCACAAATAATGGTACAGATCAAAGATTAGAAGAGTCTCTCCCTTCACCTACTTCCAAGGTTAGTTTGGTTCTGGAAAGGACACAATTACCTCTGCCCTGTACACAGCTCCTGCTGGTCAGTCTACCAGCTGCAAACTGAGTGCAGCTCTGCATTTCTGCAGGCTGTCCCTGGGAGGAAAGGACTATGGTGGAGAAACCACATGGGTTACACGCAGAGCTTGGCCAGCCTTATTAACCCCAG